CTTACTGATGAGAATTTCCCTTATCTCTTCTGAATTGCCTTGGAATACTGGCTTTTCAGGAAATTGGTGATTGCATATAAGGAAAAACAACCATTCAATTTCTGAACTAGATATTAAAAACCTAGAATCTAGACACCTTCTTGGGTTATGATGACATGGAGGAGACTGGGCCACCACAATATTTTACAAGTTTTTATAAGATAAAATAAAAAATCTTAAAAAATCAAATTCTAAAAGTGGACTATTTATACAATATATATTATGTATTTTAGATTTATATTTTAAGTGTTAACAGATTCTGCAGTTTATGACCCACTAACTGGGAGTCATTTCTTTCTGAGGGAATTTAAACTAGAAATAAGTTGCCGAAGTAACTAGCATCCATTTTGAACAGGGAGTCGCATAAATTCTAGTTAGACTCACATATTGATTGTACTTTTTCTTTCCTTGACTCCTCTTTCCTTAGTATTAATAAATGAGAATCTGTCTTCGACTAATTCAATAAATCTCATCCAAACTTAAATAACCTGTGCTGAGAATGGTACATGCTTGCTGCCTACCAGGAATTGTATGGATAGGTATGGTCCTCCTTGGCTCAGAGGACCATGAATTGTCAGAATCCAGGCATGCTGCTCTTGAAAACCATTCCCCTAAGCAGGTTTACCACTTGTTTAAGATCACTGTAAATGTTTAGAGTCAACATGCTACATCTGGTAGACTTTACAATGACTAAATTTCTTCTCTTTGAACATGAGTGTCTGAGACATTAAAGCTAGAAAGGATTTGTTTTCTTTACCTGGATGTTTAACATTCCTTTCTCATGATAATAAAAGATTTTAAAATATGATCTCCACTCATTCATTATAGGCTTTTATATCTTTCCTACTCTCAATGACATTTGTGAAGGCAATCTTGGCCACTTCTACCTCCATTAGATATTATTATCAAGCTGCATATCTAATAGGACAGGCTCACTTTTTTTGCATTTTTTAGCAGGTCCTTCAGAGAATTAGATGTCATTTGTCTTAACATGACCCTACCTACTGTTAAGGAGAGAGGTGTTTATGTGGACACATAATTTCATGCTTATGATTGTCCAATATATTTAACTACACCAAGGCAGGGATAATCATTCTGAGGGTCTTACTTGACAGGATTGGCAGATGGATGAATAGGGACCCATCTGGAGCCACTAAGGAATAAGAGGACTATTTCAGGTAGGGACAGCAATTTAAAAGCAGATAAATTAATGCAAATAGAAATGTTTTAACAATCTCATTTATAAAAAGAATTTGGCAGTTCTGAATTGCAAGCATAGAAAAGCTGAGAATAAATTATATCCATTTATTCTTAAAGATCACAGGATTATGTTTACAATATGATGTATGTTAATTGTTTTGTATTACAACTATAATAGTATATAGAGATAGGATTAGGATTAGGATTATTTTTCATATTACTTTAATCCCAGCAAAGCTGCCCAAATATTTACTATCCAAGCATTTTTAAATAGATCTTTCAGTAATTTCCTAGTAATTCTCTGTTCCTGGGAAACTATTACGAACCTCTCTGTGAGTTTCACTTTCCTTAGTTATCAGCAGATGTTTTTTCACTTAAAAATAGTTTATTAAAAACAGTATACCAGAAACAGTGACATCTATTCATCTAATACCTACTTTTGATGAGAAGATTGTAGAGGAAAAACTTTGAAAAAAAATTATCAAGGCTACTGAGGTATCACTGAAAATAATAAGGTAATGTCTGGCTGAAAGTTAATCAAATACAAAACATGTATTTTGGGAGCCTTAAGTAAAACAAAACAAAAACAAATAGAAAATAATTTTATCAATATGAGATATAGTTTAAACTTGATAAGATGATTGTAGAAACAGATTGTTCAGGAGCATAAGAAAGAGTTTGTGTAACCATGTAAAACTTCACTTCTTTGAAATGTCTTTTGTTCTTCTTTTTCTCCTTGATTCGAACCAGCCTTGGGCTCTCTTGCTTCTTTTCTTTCCGATCCTGCATACTGCACAACCACTCCCTTAATGATTAAGCCCTTAGGTCGGCATCAAACTGTTTTAGGAACAAAGCCTCAGGTCTATTGACCACAGAAACAGAGTTTTGGTTTAAGTAAAGATGACATCTTGCAGCTCCACACCCAAGAGGGGAGAACAACCCTACAAGTATCCCCTTGAAACTAGACAAAAGGATATCATGACTGACATCTGGATCTGATACAATGATCAACTGCCTGGTACTCTAGCCCAAATCAATAAATTAGTAAGTCCAAGACTCCAACTCTCTTAGCTACTAATGAGTTTTCCTCTGTATAACCTATCTTCTAGAAACCACTGGGGATCCAGGACTTTGAGGAATAGCTCACCTGTGTCTCCAGGCTGGGTATCATTTCCTTATATAAAACTCTACTTTGCTGCAAACTCCTGTCCATGTCTCTTTAGGCTTTGACGCATGCAGGCAAAATGAACCCCTTGAGTTCAGTAACATTTGTCTAATTATATTAAAATGCCATCTCTCCATGCTTTTCAGGCTGGATTCTGGCAATAATCACTTGGAATGAACACTTGATTAAAAAACTTGAGTTAAATAAAGAATTGGTGAGAGTTCTTACTTTTAGAGCTACTTGAAAACTCTTTGAAAGAATAGGCTCCAGTCTGATAATTTGTTCACCATTATTTGCTTCATAAATTTTGCCTCACCAAGAAAATTTGGTACAGGGATGGGGGTTGATAATGTGAATATAGTTTATTCCATTTAACAAAATTTCAGAATTATGCCAAATTTGTCTTCTTGGAAAACTGCAAGTCTAGATGATCAATTCCAGTTCAAACATTTCCCCAGAGATTGAAGTGATGCTGCCACAAACCAAGGAAAGCCTGGAGCCATCAGAAGCTGGAAGAAGCAAGGAATGGATTATCCTCTAGGGTTTATGGAGGAAGTGCAGCCTAGCCAACATCTAGCTTGATTTCAAACTTCTGGCCTTTAGAACTGTGAAAGAATGTTGTTTTAAGCCAACCAGTTTGTTATAATTTGTTACAGCAGCCTTAGGAAACTAATATAGATTTGTTTGCTTCACATATAAACACAGTATAATTTTTCTTTCTTCGTAGTGTGCTGAAAGGTTTAAATAGTTGGACTCATTTGCCCCTTAAGGTCTGACAGAATTTCCTTAGTGAACCATTAACTCTGAAGTATTTGGAGTGTTAGTTCTTTCACAAGTTTCCCATTTTCTTATATGAAATCAGCTTATATGTGAAATCACTTCTATTTCTTTGAAGTTGTTTTACAGCAACTTTCACAAAAATATTCTTTACATGGAATTTATTAGTGTATAATTAAGAAAATATGTTACATTTCTTTTGATTTTTTCTAGCTATTTACTACTTATTATCCTTTCCACGTTTCTTAATAAGATTAGTGAAGACATTTATTGTTTTACTGTATATCATATTTTCTTTTCAAAAAATTAAGGATTTTAAGCTTAATATATTAAAATTCTGGTCTCTAACCTCTTTCTGTCTTTAGGTTT